ATGCTTGGGAGGGTGGAGGGACAGCGCAGGAGGGGAAGACCCTCTATGAGATGGATTGATTCGGTGACTGGGGTAATCTGGATGGGTGTGTCAGAGGCAGTGCGGTTGGCGCAGGACAGAGCAGGGTTTAGAGCTGTTGTGCATAGGGTCGCTATGAGTCGGAAACGACTCGATGGCACATAACAACAACATATACTAAATATATACTTTGGACGTGTTGTAAGGAGGGATTGGTCCTTGTCCCTCACATCATGCTTGGGAGGGTGGAGGGACAGCGCAGGAGGGGAAGACCCTCTATGAGGTGGATTGATTCAGTGACTGGGGCAATTGGGATGGTTGTGTCGGAGGCAGTGCAGTTGGCACAGGACAGAGCAGGGTTTAGGGCTGCTGTACATAGGGTCCCTATGAGTCGTAAGTAACTTGATGGTACATAACAACAACAACAACAACAATACATACTAAAGGTAATGGTAAATTGGAATTCATAGAACAGCATAAGAATATGTTTTTGTGTGCATGTGAGAATAGAGAACTGATAGAAAAATGAAATGTGATTATTTGTTTAGTTTTACTCATTTAAAGATTAAAATATCAGTAATCACTAATTAATGTTTATTGACTCTTAAATGGATATACCTGTCTATAGTGTTATTATTTTCCTGATACTTAAAATTAATACATTCTTTTGTCCAGTAAATTTATTTTTTTTTGAAAAGTAAATAATGGGCTATAGTTCTAGTTCCTCATTATACATTGTTAGGATTTTGTGTATTTCCTTCTAAATGGCACTGCCCCCTTCCCCCCCCCACGTTATTTTTACTTCATATTGGTATGCACACAAAGTTTGTATTCATTGTGTGTCATTCATATACATTGTGTTTCATACATTCTTGGGTTTTATAAAATTAATCACCAGTGATCTATGCTTACTATTTACCCTATCCTTTCAGGCTCCTCACTGGATTTTTTCCTAATTTCTCCACGTCCAAAACATCCTTCCATTCACTAAACACTGTTCCTCCACTCCCCACCAACTGCCCTCTTCCCTTCCCCTTTTGGACTTTACCCACATCTTACTAGTTAGTCTTTTTTTTTAAACAATAATGGCCTTATGCAGTATTTGTCCTTGTGAGATTGAGGTTATTCAATATTCTCTCTTTATGCTCCCGTGTAATACAGTGTTTCACAAAATTGTTGCTCGTTAATATTCCATTGTGTGACTGTACCATAATTTCTCAATCCATTTGTTCATGGACATATGGGCTAGTTCCATTTTCTTTCTGTTGTGAATAGTGCTACTAATGAACATAGATGTACAAAAATCTCCATTCATGTCTCAGTTCTCTTTTCTTTGGGATATATTCCCAGCAATGCAGTAGCTGATCATAGAGGATTTTATGTTCAGCTTTTTGAGGAATTGACAAATTGTCTTCCACAGTGGTTGTATCATTTTATAATCTCACCAACAGTGTAGGAGCTCCACATCCTCTCCCAACATTTGCTGGGTGCTGTCCTCTTAAACTCTGCCATACTACTGGAGCGAGATGGTATCTTACTGTGGTTTTTATTTGCATCCCTCTTATTGCCAGTGATTTTGACCATTCTTTATGGGTCTTTTGGCCATCCTACCATCTTCCCTTTGTGAAAAGTCTTTCTACATCTTTTACCCATTTTGTAATTGGGTCATCAGTCTTTCTTGTGGAAGAGGCCCTGTTGTATTTTGTAAACTTGTTATGAGACTCTTGTCTAAAATGGTATTGTCAAATATTTTCCCTATTCAGTAGGTTTTCTTTTCACTCTATTGGAAAAGTTTTTGAAGTAAATAGGTACTTAATTAATATTTAGAAGGTCCCATTTGTCGATTTTGTCTTCTGGTTGTACACTGATTGGCATACCATTTCCTTAACTGGAATGAATTGCATGACTGTCAAAAGTTATTTTTTGACAATTCTGAATCAAAATGCTTAGTTGAACTTTTTGAATTAGAATATTTAAAGATAATTGTTTATCAAGTTATTTTAGAGAAATTTTAATTGCTTCCATAATGTTACAGAGAAATTTGTTCAGAGATTCTGCAGAATTAACTTTTGAACATGAATGTGTTCTTAAAACTACCAATTTGTAAATACTTAGTTTTTGAAGGCAGTTTATACCTAGGGAGAATAAAAATAGATTAATTTTTATAGTTATGAATTCTTTATGTTAATTTTTGTAGTACTATGTATTTTTATTAACTTTCAAATTATATTTTAAAGTACAGATTTTTAATGTCAAAAAGTAGACTTCAGAGAAAAGCTATCAGTAAGTTTTAGCAAGACTTATATCTTTTTATAATAGATAAAAATGAAAAAATGCTTATCAGTTATGTGTAGTTTTAAAGATGAAAATTTGCATCTGCTTTATTTGATTCTTACATAGTGAATTGCTCCTTTCATTAGCTGACTCATTGTTAATTGAAGAGTTTACAAAGAATCCCAATATTTTGACCTAAATGATGAAAATTAATGCTGTTTTTTTCTTTTTGACAGGTATTTGTTTGCTTATGGAAGGGTTGTAAAGTGTATAACACTCCATCAACTAGCCAGAGTTGGTTACAGAGGCATATGCTAACACATAGTGGAGACAAACCTTTCAAGGTAAGTAAGTGTATGTGTTTTTTCTTTGTTTCATAATTCCTGAAAGTAATTTTTTTTTAAATGGGCATACTTTTATTCTCTTAAAATTTTGAAAATGATACAGTTGTTTAAAAATTCCTGTCTCTTCTTGCTTTGACAGCACATATACTAAAATTGGAACAATACAGAGAAGATTAGCATGTCCCCTGCATCAGGATAACATGCAAATTCATGAAACATTACTTCCTCCAGCCCCCCAATTCCTGTCTGGAAAGAAAAAAAAATTACTGTTGTCTAGTTGGTTCTGACATTTAGCATCCTTCATCAGGTTTCCAAGACTGCCTGTCTTTTTCAAACTGAATCTTCTGATGAATTTGAACTATTGGAAGTGTAAGACATTAATGATTAGCAGTGCAGCACACTGCAGACAACACCACCAGAATTCCTTTACTATTTCTATAGGTAATTCTATAAATGCATGGAATTTCAAAATTACGATGAGCAAGAGAATGGCTTGGTATCTGCTTCCTTAAAAATTGCAGCCAGTATAACTTTATGGAACAATTCTACTCTCTGTGGTGTGTGTAATGAGATTACCATGCCGGGGAATTCACTGTGGCAGTCAGTAATAGAATTACATCACCAGTTTTGTTTCGTCCCCCCCTCCACCCTCCGAATTGCCAGAGTCAACCTTTTGTTTCTGTCTGAGCAGAGAGCATTTGCAGCACCCAGGTAACAGGTACCTAAAAACTAGGTAGGAGTAACTACAATTTTTAACTCGCGATCCAGTCAATCTGATAAGTGTTGTATATAACAGAAAACACTGTGATGTAAACAGAAATGAAGCAATTTCTCTTTTTAACAAAATTTTCTGGAAATACAGACTAGAAAAAAAAAAATCTTCACTTTTCTTTCCACCTTTTATCGTCTTATGGCAAATACTTGGCTACTCACTAGGGAATTCTGTTAGATAAACAGTTGTGCTGGCATCCCAAACATTGGCTGTTTGAATCTACCTGCTTTTCCTTGGGAGAACAGTCTCCTTCTGTGTGATTTACAGTCTCTGAAAACCTCGTGGAGGGAGGGTCAACTGCGTAGGCTCTGACCTGCTGCAATTGAGAGCTGCTTTCTACCTTTTAACTTATTGTGATGAATATAGGACTACTCAATAAATTTAAACTTTAAAAAACCCAAGAATACCTAATAAAACCCTGTTGCTCTTGTATTGATGCTGACTCATTGCATCCCTACAGGATTGAATAGTATTGCATCTAGTTGTAAATCTTAATGGAAACAGACTATTTCATCTTTATTTCTTGGGGCAGCCATAAGTTTGATCCACAAACTTTTTGATTAACCAAATTTTTCAAATAAAGCTAGATGTATTAAAAAATAAAAAGGAGGTAGAGATGATGAAATCATTTTTGCCTTCATATTAAGAAAAGAAAAAAGGAGGTAGAACTTATTTTATCCTTTTTTACCTTCAATTTGAAGGGGAACACACAATTTTGAGGTGAGAGTCCTGAAGCCTGTTACTTATTTAAATCTTTTTTTATTGTGATAGTTATCAAAACAAGCTAATTCCATTATTTTTCATCTATAATTCAGTGATGCTGATTGCAAGGTGTGCTTCATTCATTAGCATAAGCTCATTACTCCCTACAGTTCCTTTCTAAGTGCTGTCATCAATTTGATATCCTATAGATAATTCTCAAGAGAGTATAATGATCATCCAGACATTGTTTACCAGTTAGAGCAGACTGTTGTTAGGTTTTAAAGGCCATGCCTTTTTATATCAGTAGATGTTAATTATTGTACTCTGTTTTCTCACTGTCTGAGAAATTTGTCTTCTAAAAATCGTGTAATTGCCTTTTATAAGCAAATTACACTGACTGTAATAGTAAATAAAGAGATCATATAGCATAAAGTAATTTGATACTGTTTTAAGGTTCTGTTACAGAGGTTAGTTCTAAGTCACTTTATGAAATATATCGTCTATGAAATCTGCAATAAAGATAGAATTTCTAACATCCCAGTTAAATTTAGTTGAATTTTGGTTTCTAATTAGTTTAGGTGAGCTCTGTTGGCCTTAGTGGCAAGAAGCTGCACTGCAATCTCAGAGGTACACGGTTCGAATCCACCAGATGGCCCTGCTGGAGAAGGAGGAACAATCTCCTCCTGTATCAGTCAGATCTGATTTGACAGTACACACAAAAAAAATGAAATAAAATAATTTTTTTTTAAAAAGAAGTTTAATAACTTATTTGGAAGCCTGGTGACACAGTGGTTAAATGCTTGGCTGCTGACCAAATTGTCAAGGTTCAAACACACAGGTTGCTCCTTAGGAAAAAAACCTTAGTGCTCTTCTACAAGGAATAGAGCCTAGAAAATCCTGTGGTGTAGTTCTGTTCTGTCCTGTAGAATTGCTGTGAGCTGGAACTGACTCTTTGGTAACTGGTCTGATTTGGTCTAATCTTTACAGTAGAAGCAGAGGTGGCTTTGATTACATAACATGTAGCAATTTGTGCCACTAACCTAAGGCTGTACTTCTATGGCATTTTGGGTCTACCAGTGACTGCAAGTAAGAAAGTTGGGTAGATTCTTCCCATTGCATCCTCAACAACATCTGCAGTATAAAACTATTCTTCCCAGGTCACACATGGCCCCTCACTGTGCTGTACCTCCTTCTACTAGTTACTGGTTCCACAATTAGTTGCAAATGACAATGCAGCCTTTACTCATAGTTATGGGGCTTATTAGGGAAACAGGTTGGAGGTGGGGGTGGAGTGGAAGGCAAATGATACCACAAAATGCAAGTCCAGGTTCAGCAAATTACAGCCCCAATCCAAGTTAACAGCAAAACATAATCCTTCAATTAGTACAGACAGCTACTCTGTCAACAGCAAGATGCAGTCCCTAAGTTACTCTAGGCAGCATGTCAGCCAACAGCAAGATACTTCTGGTGCAGAAACCACTGGCCCTAAAGGGTATGTACTATTTTCTCTGCTGTTTTCCCGGTGGTGAGGTTCACCAAAGTCTCATTACAGCTTGGTTGGTGCTTTCTCTTCTGTTGGCTTTGCAGCTGTTAATGATGTTGAAGAACCTGATCAGCTGCGAGTCAGCTGGGGACAAAGTGGGTGGGGCCTCAGAGTAATTTTACTTATGTATTCTTACCTGTCCATATAGTCAGATCTAAGACAATAGCTAGAAAATTCACTTTAAAAAACACTAACATGACAGAGGGTCACTATCAGTCAAGACTGACTTGAGGGCAGTGAGTTTTTACAGGGGCAAATTTTACTCCATTGGGACTCTTCTGGGTTTGAACTGTTGACTTTTCACTTAGCAGATAAACAGTGAACATTTTTTACTGCCAAGACTCCTTGATGCATAAATAATGTGATTCTTGTTAAAATACATTTTTCGATATTTTAACATATTTTTCTTTTACTTTGTTGCATGTGTATTTTAATGTATTTTTCTGTTTTTGTGTATGTATTTTAATATACTTTGCAGTGTGCATATTTTAGTATATTTTTGTTTTGAGGAAAGAAAAATTGGTCATATATTCCAGCAGTATAGCTTTATTAGCAGTGAGACAGTTGTGTGTGCCATCAAGTCAGAAATGACCCATAGTTGGCAGGTTTTCAGAGGCAGTCAGTCATAGGGGAGGATTCAAACCACATGCCTTAGTTTGACAGTAGTTTGACTAAAGTATTGTATATTAGAAATTATACAGGTACACTTAAAAATAAACTTAATAACTTTCTTCTTAACTTGTTTGCCTGCTCCATTATGTCTGTTTACTTTCAGATTAATATTAATACTTAGTTGTCTTGAGGTGATTTTTTAATTGGTTTTCCAGAGTCACTCATACACTTTGTTTTATAACAAGTACAATTGTATAATGAAATTATACAATTAAAATACATTAAAATAACGTTTACTTCAGTAGCTAGTCTCCGAAAGCTGAAGATTAATGACTTTTTTTTTTTGCCAATAAGTGAAATATTTTTGTATTTTACAGAAGATTAATGACTTTAAAAAAATAAAAACAACTATGAGATACCATCTCAACACAGTAACAATAGCAAAGTTGAACAGAGCAGCAAACAGCAAATGCTGGTATGGTTGTAGGGAAATTAAAACCCTTATTTACTGTTGGTGGGAGTGTAAAATGGTGGGAGTGTAAAATGGAAGGCATTGTGATGCTTTTTCAGAAAGTTGGAAATAGAAATACCATTTGACCCTACAGTTCCACAACTGGGAATATAGCCTAAAGAAACTAGAACTGCCACCCGAATATATGCACACCCGTGTTTATTGCTGCATTGTTCATAATAGAAAAGAGGTGGACATAACCCAAGTGCCAATCAATAAATGAATAGAGAAGCTGTGTTATATTCACCCAACAAAATACATGTAGCACTGAAAAACAAGGAACTTAAAAAAAAAATTATACAAAACGAGTGACCCTGAAGGACATTATGCTGAGTGACATATCTCAGTCACCAAAAGGACAAATACTGCATAATGCCACTGTTACAAAATAGGACTGCCATGGAGGTTGGGAGGAAACTTAAAAAGAGGGAATAAATAATGAACACTGCATTGAAACAGATGAGGGAAAGAACTGTTTAGAAGGAATATATGATTAGGCATTATTTGCATGACAACAGCGCAGAATAAAAGGTGCATAGCAAAGTGGATTGGGGTGAGAGGGAGGGAGGAAATCGTGTAACAGTGAATGAATATTTTAAAGAGAAAAGCGAACTGGGAGGAGGGTAGGGAGGAAAATAGAAAAAAATATAGCTATTTCCTGCAGGGGAAAAGTTCATTATTTTTAAGCGGTTTTCTTTTGTTTTTACTATGATTTGACAATTTACTTAACAAACTGATCTCTATTGATTACTATTCCAGTCATTTTTTGGATAATCTTCAGCAGGATCTTGCTTACATGTGATTTTAGTGATATTCTGTAATTTACACATTCTTTCAGATCACCTTTTAATGAGAATATGGATCTCTTTTCAGTCAGTTGGCCAGTTAGTTCTCCAAATTTCTTGGCACAAGGAATTGAGCACATTCAAGGCAGCATCTTTTTGTTTAAATATATCAATTAATTTGGCATCAATTCCTGGGGCTTTGTTTTTTGCCCATTTCTTTAGAATAGCTTGAAATTCCTCCTTCATCACCATTGCCTCTTGATGATACATTATTTCATGAAATTCTTTTGTGTCAGCCAGTACTTTTTGGCACAGTGACTCTGTACTCCTATCTTTTAAAGCTTCCTGGGTTTTTAAATATTCTGCCCTTAACATCCGTAAGTATTGCGGCTCGAGGCTTAAACTTGTTGTTCAGTTCTTTCGGTTTAATTGGAACAGATGAAGGAAAGACTGTTTAAAAGGAATCTGTGATTAGACATTATACATATGACAGCAGTCCAGAATAAGAGTTTATTGCAAAGGGGATTGGGGGTGGGATAATGTAATTGTGCAACAATGAAAGAATATATATATACATATTAAAAAAAGGGAACTGGCGGCGGGGAAGGAGGGAGTGAAGTAAAATGTACAATAATGAATGAATGAAACACTAACTTTTCTGTAAATTTTCATTAAAATTAAAATTAAAGTTTTATTTTAAAAAATATGGTGAATGAGTTTGTCCCTTTTGATTTTCTGATTCTAGTTCTTTGTATGTTTCATTCTAATACTTTGCTTAGTTTTCCGGAGGTGCCCTTTGAAATCTTTGTATGGCTCCCTAATTCCTTCATTTCTTCGCTTTGCTTTGGTGTCTCAGTGCTGTAGAGCAATATTCAGAGTCTCTTCTGACATTGATTGTGGTCTTTTCTTCCTCTTTGTAATGACTTTTTGCTTTCTTCATGGATGATATTCTTGATACCCTCCTACAGCTTATCTCTTTGCTTAATAGTGTTCAAGACTTCAAACCTATTTCTGAGGTGGCCTTTTAAATTCTAGTGGGGTAAACTCTAGGTCAGACTTTTGTTCTTGTGAATTTGATTTGATTTTCTTGAGCTTCAGTTTGAACTTGAATATGAGTTGTTGATGTTCTGTTCCATAGTCAGTCCCTGGCCTTGTTTTCACAGCTGCTATCGAGCTTCTTCCTCAGTTATTTTTCTGCAGGTATAGTCAGTCTGATTCTTACGTATATCATCAAAGTTAGCTGCCTCTGGTCTCTAGCTACCTTAACTGCAGACACATGGTCTTGGAAATTAGCATCAGCTGTGGGACTTGTATAAGCAAACGAGTGCTTGTTACACTGGGCATCAGGACTTGAGGCTAGAGGGCTTGTGGTGGCAAGACCCTGGTGGTGGAGAGATTGTGGCCCTGCTGTGGAGAAATTTTTACCTGAAGCTTCTTGCATTTTTGCTAGCCACAGTTTAAAGTTTGGCTTTTTCACAATTGCTCTGGGAAAACCTTGCTGGGTAATTTGAATTTGACACTGAACTAAAACCAGAGCCTGAACTTACTGAGGAATTGTGGCATGGGACTGTTGGGCTAAAGCCTGAACTTTTATTGTGAGATTTTCTTTGACCCCCACCCCCTTTACTTCCCTTATAAACCTCATTCTTAGTACTAAAACTGTGAGTCTCTAAGTCAGCAACGAATAAATTAACCTCTTGCTGTTGGTGTGGCTCTACCATGAGGCTGGGTTACTAATCTTTATCTGCTTTTTATTCTGGGGCAGTGAGGTGCTTTGCCATTCTTACTCTGCCCCTTTCAGAGAGACACTCCTGGCCCCTGTGCCCCTGGTGCCCGTTTTCTATTTAGACAGAACTTTGGTTTCTCAATCTCAGAAGTGTAGGGTACTAAGGAGCCAATATTTACTGGAATTTATAAAGTGCTTCATAGGAAGGAGTACAGGAGCTGTTAATAGAACTAATATTCATATGTACTCCATCAAAGTAAATGTTTAAGAATTTGAAGATTTATACCAACTTTTGCAGTCGTAAATTTTTAAGAATAAATTTGATACACTGAACACTCATGATTCAAGATCAGTCAGCCTATGTCATGCCATGACATAAAGGATGTAACTAGTTCTGAAATGACAAATTATTTAATTTGTTCTCATCCCTTACATTTTTGCTTCATTGCTGATACCGTAAGGTAAAGATATGGAAAGCATCTTAACAGTCTAGGATATTATCCTACATTAGGGTTTCTCAACTTCTCAACCTTGGCACCATCTGTAGTTTTTATATAATTTTATATGTAATCTGTGTACTTCTTTACAATTTCTGATTGTAGGGGGGAAGTGGGTTTTTCCATTAGAATGCATCGTAGGATGTTGGTCCTTGACTTACTCTCCTCCATGGAAGAAAGATGGACAGTCTCCTCCTGTGCTGTTTACTGCCTCTGATAATCTGCTGGAGGGTCAGCTATGGGTTGATTCTGACTCACTGGTACAACAACAGCTTCCAACTCAAGTACAGCTACCAAACATTGCATTGCCGATTATCTTTTGGGAGGCAGAGTTGAGCTAGTGGAAAATGACAGTAATAGGTCAGATTTATCTCTCATTTTAGATACAAGTTTAAGATGTACCTTTTTTCCATTCGCTTTAGGTTCCTTTGGATCCAAAATTAGTTTTATTGCATCATTAGTTTACTTCTGAAAATATTTAATGTGTTATTCTACTCTTCCCACACTTTATCCCTAACAGCATTTTTTCCTTTTATTTTCATTTAGTGTGTTGTTGGTGGCTGCAATGCCAGCTTTGCTTCTCAGGGAGGACTAGCTCGCCATGTTCCTACACACTTTAGTCAGCAGAACTCTTCAAAAGTTTCTAGCCAGCCAAAGGCCAAAGAAGAATCTCCTTCTAAAGCTGGAATGAACAAAAGGAGGAAATTAAAGAATAAAAGAAGACGTTCATTACGTAAGTATTGCATTTAAGATGGTCTTTATTAGATGGCTTGCATGCAAATGCAGTTTTATCATTTTCTAAATTCTCCTTTACTGTTTCTTTTAGTGGTTATAAATGAGTAGAGTCCATATATGTCAATGTGTGAATATAGAGACATAAATCTTATCTGTAGCGGATAAGAAGAGTATAATTAAATATGGTCTTAGAATACAGATTTAATATAGGTAAAATTTAAAATATGCTATTCAGTTCTCAGAAAAGTTTTAGAAAATCTGAACTAGTAATTTCACATGAAGTATTCAAAACAGTGTTGTGTGAAGTAGCATAACTATAGCTTCTATCATTTATCTATTCCGACGTATGAGAGAGAGAGAAAGAGTGTGTGTGTGTGTCTGTGTGTATGAGAAAGCACATAACCATATCTATATTTGCATTTAGAGCTTCCTAAAGTCAAGACAGGCAACAGTGTGAGAAACCAGTAGCTGCAAGAGGAGCAAGGCATCACAAAAGTAATTTGAGGCTTGAGCCATCATATCAGAGATTAGCTGGGAGGAGGGTGGTGGTGCATGGAGCAGGGAAAGGTATAGGATAAGATAAACATGCCAGCAGAGGGAGCGACAGTGAATCCATTGACTATTTCTGTAAGGGGAAAATTTTTTATCTACTCCTTTCAGTAAAATGGTTGTCTGTCATACACTGTTCTAAAGCTGAACATCTAAATTAAGACAGACTAGGAAGAAGGATTGGCCATCCACTTCTGAAATAATAGCCTTTGAAAACCCTATGTACAATAGAGCACACTTAGAGCAGATTAGCAGATAATGGCATGTTAGGCTGAGCCGTTGAATTTGGAAACACAAAGGAAGAGGAACAGTTTTAAGCAGACACTAATTATTGGAATGTGGAATGTGAGAAGCATGAATGTAGGAAAACTGGGCATCGTTAAATGGAATGCATAAATATTGACAATATGTCAAGGTGTTGGTGAAATGAGATGGATTGACATGAGACATTTTAAATCAGATGATCATATGATTTATTATGCTGGAGATGAAAAGGTGAGAAAATACTGGGTCACTTTCATAGGTAAAAAGACCATTTCTAGAGCTATCTTGAAATACAATATTGTGACAGGATAATACCCATATACCTACAGGAAGTTAAGGAGTTGAACAGGGATTTCAAAGGGCAGCTCAGAAAGACAGAGCTATAAGGAAATTTACAAAGAGCTGGAATATCAGAAAATTAAAGGGCCAGACTTGCTCAGAGTTTCTACAGATTGAAGCCTTGAGTTTCAATACTTAAAGATGTCATGGGCAGACTCTGGTGGCCTAGCTGAAGAAGCTATGCTGCAATCACAAAAGCATGCAATTCATGGCCACCAGCTGCTCTGTGGGAGAAGAATGGGCACTCCGCTCCTGTGTGAGTAACTGCCTCTGACAGTGTGCCGGATGATCAGCTGTGGGTTGGTTTTGACTCTATGGTAAACAATAACCACAGGCAGAATATTGAATTGAATGATCTAAGAGGCATTAAAAGAAGATGGAAGAAAATATAGAGTCACTGTAACAAAAATAGTTGTCTGACACGGAAGATTTTCATGAAACTGCCTACCGAGAGGCAGTGGTCATTAAGGAGGAAGTTCAGACTGCTCTGAAGGAATAGGCAAAACACAAGGCCCCAGGAATTGATGGTATTCCAGTTGACATATTTTAACAAACAGATCCTACCCTGGACATCCAGGTTGTATCAAGAAATCTGGAGGACAGTTACCTGGCCAACTGAATGGCAGAGATCAATGTTTATTCCCATTCCAAAAATGTAACCTGACAGAATGTGAAAATTACCGAACAGTGTCAGTGTTATCACACAAGTGAGATCCTGCTGAACATCATCCAAAAGTGACTGGAACAATGCATTGACAGAGATCTACCAGTCATTTTGTAAGTTAGTACCTAACTTGGGAGGGACTGGAGAGCATTATGTTGAGTCTTACAAAGACAAATATTGTATAAAACCATTATTGTAGGATGAGTGGGTGTGGGAGTAGGGTATTAATCATAGGGTTACATAATTCGGTGGGTGGGTGGGGTGAATGAAATGAGAAGGATCTTTTGTGAAAAACAATGTATTCAAACGTTGTAGAGGAATCAGAATAAAATAGAGAAAAATCTAAAATAAAAAAGACAAAAGATGCTCACAGGCCAGTTGGAGGCATCATGATAGAAAAGAGATTGAGGATGTTAATAATTTCCGCTTTTTTTGCTCTACAATCAGCACTCTTGCACCAACAGTCAGGAAATCAAAAGACCAATTGCACTGGGAAAATCTGCTGTCAGGGACCTCTCCAGAGTACTGAGGAACAGCGATGTCGGTCTAGAAACTGAGGTGAACTTGATCAGGTCGTGGTCTTTGCAGTTATTTCCTATGCATCAGAGAGCTGGACAGTGATTAAGGATGAAAGAGTAATCATCGATGCCTTTGAGTTGTGTTGGAGAAGAGTCTTGAACCTACTATCATGGACTGCCAAGAGGAAAACAATTCTGACTTGGAGAGGTTGAAACCAAGCTTCTTCTTAGAGGCAAGGAGTTTGTAGCTGCTTCTAACATACTTTAGCCACGTAGCCAGGAGGGACTAAGTTCTTGGAAAAGAATATCATACTTGAAAAGGTGGAGGAGCAGCGCAGGAGAGGAAGACCCAGATGACATGATAGACATAGTGGCTGAGGTACTGGGGTAGGTCCTTGGGAGTCACAGGCTTAGGACAGAGCAGGCTTCAGAATTGTAGTAGTAGGGTCTTTATGAGTTGCAGATGTCTCAGTGACATTTAACAGTGTTAAATGTGTTTTAAGTATCAAATTGAGATAAAATGATATTGATAAAATAAGACTTGTATATATGTTGAGGACAGGAATTGATTTTGAAACTTAGTGTTGCTTAGTCAGCTGACTAAATACATTTTGGGTGAATAAGTAAGACTTAAAAGACTCAATGAATTAATGAAGTCTTTGGCAGAATATCTATTTGCAAGGATAAGCTAAAGAAAAATCAATTGCCTTTTATACTTTCTCTTGGTGTTTGAGGAGATTGTAGAAGAAACAACATATATTAATCAAGTTAATAATTCAGAGGCTAGTAAAGCAACATTGACATTTAAAATGTTGACTTGCTTTTACTACAGAATTGTATTGGATAAATGAAATGAACATAAGTGGAAATTTCATTTTTAAAAAGTTGTAAATATGTCTTAGATTTTGTGTTGTCCTCAGAATTGACTATTAAGTAAAAACTAGGTTATATGGATTCTCTTTTCTTATTAACATGTACTTACAAACAGAAGCCCTTGACATTTTATTGTTAATTTGCAGTTGCATTTTAAAAATTACTAAATACTTATTATGTACTGAAACATGAATAACTTTCCCACCTGTTTCACCTTAACCTCATTATTTTAGTCACGATTTGGAAACAGTAATTATTTAAATTTACTGATTATCATATTACTCAGTTGGAAATACTTAGACAAATGTTAATGTTTACTGGTAAAAAGAAGCTGAGTTAGTTAAATATGTAATCTTTATCTGGAAAATGGAGCAGTATTGCTGACCTTATTGTAGGTTGTTTTGTTGTTGTTGTTGTTGTTGTTGTTATTATGTGCCATCGAGTTTCTTGCGACTCATAGCGACCCTATGTACAACAGACCTAAACTCTGCTCTGTCTTGTGCCAGTCGCACTGTCTCTGACACACCCATCCTGATTACCCCAGTCACTGAATCAGTCCACCTCATAGAGGGCCTTCCCGTTCTGTGCTGTCCCTCTACCCTACCAAGCTTGATGTCCCTCTCCAAGGACCAGTCCCTCCTTACAAAATGTCCAAAGTATGTTAGACGGAGCTTCAGAATCCTTGCCTCCAAGGAGCCGCCTGGTTTAACCCTTTCCAGGATGAATCTGTTTTCCTAGCAGTCCATGGTACCCTCAGTACTCTTCTACAGCACCACAGCTCAAAGGCATCAATTCTCCTTCTATCCTCCTTAGTCACTGTCCAACTCTCTGATACATAACAAGTCATCGCAGAGACCATGGCCTATATCAGATTCACCTTAGTCTCCAGAGAGACACCATTGCTCTTCAGTACTTTGGAAAGGTCCCTAACAGCAGACTTTCCCATGGCAATATGTCTTTTATTTCCTGGCTACTGGTGCCGAGAATGTTGACTGTGGAGCCAAGCAAACTAAAGCTGTGAACAATCCCAATCTGTTCACCATTCATCCTGATCAGGCTGCTTTACACAAATGATTTTCATCCCAAATATTAGCTAGAAAAACAAGCTATATGATTAACTTAAAGTTGTAAGTAGAATATATTATTTCTACTAATACTAATATTACTATGCTCCAGTATTAATTTTTTAATCAGCTTTTAAAATTTATTATACAGTGAAAACACACATAAACCATACAAATGTAATTTATAATCCCTTTGATAATTTACTACAGCCTTCTTAAGTATGCATCGCCTCAAAATAAGGATATTGTACATTGCTTTTGATACCTGAAAGCAAGGGAAATCATATATGATATGTAAACCACAGGAGAACAGTGTATCTATTTTTGTGGCACACATTCCTATGGTGGTGGGTTTTTTTGTTTGTTTTTTTTTTTAATTGATATTTTACTGTAATTTTATAAAGAACTTGGATTTCCATTCATTCACTGTTGCATATTTTCCTTCCTATCTCCCCTTCCCCCTAGTTCCTTTTTCTCTTTGGAAAAAAGTTCTTTCATTGTTATACAGTCTCCCTATCCCCCCAGACCACTTTCTTATGCAGCTCTTATTCTGGACACGTGTCATACCAGTAATATCTACTAATATATTCCTTTTATACAGTTCTCTCCCCTGTCTGTTTCAGTGTTGTGTACATTATTTATCCCCTCTTTCTTAGTTTCCCCCAACCCTAATGTCAGTCCTATTTTATAACAGTGGCATTATGCAGTATTTATCTTTGTGACAGAGATATTTCACACAGCATAATGGCCTCCATGGTCATCCATTTTGTGTAATATTTCGTGAGTTCTTTGTTTTTCAGTTCTGCATAATATTCCTTTGTGTTACTATACCCCAGCTTCTCTATCCATTTGTTGATGGTTACTTGGATTGTTTCCAGCAACAAAGCAGCAATAAACATGGGTGTGCATATATCTGCTTAGGGTATATTCTCAGTAATGGAATTGCTAGATCAAATGGTATTTCAATTTGCAACTTTTTTGAGACAGCACCATACTGTCTTCTATAGTGGTTGCACCATTTTACGCTCCTACCAACAGTGAATAAGCGTTCCAGTTTCTCTGCACTAGAAGGACTAATCCACAACATGAATAGTTTTCCAAGTATCCTGAAAAACCTATAACCAGGAGAGGATAAAATAGATGAATGGGACTTTCTAAAAGTTAAATTCCTATGCACATTAAAAAACTTCTCCAACAGGGCAAAAAGGGAAGTCACATAGATTGGGAAAAAATATTTGGTAATGGCATGTCTGATAAGGAACTTATTTCTAGAATTTATAGACTGCTCAAGCACCATAAAGGTAAACAACCCAGTTTGCAAAATTGGCACAGGATCTGAGCAGATACTTAACCAAAGAAGACATTCAGATGACAAACACATAAAGAAATGTTCAAAATGCTTAGTTCTAAGAGAGATGTAACTCAAAACAACTAAGAGCTGTCATCTCATTCTAGTAAAACTAGCAAAATTGAACAGAGCAGCAAACAACACATTCCCGTTGTATATAGTTAAATATTTTAAAAAGGTAAGTATGGTATAAAAGAATTGCCAAGAAGGAATATTGAATACGAATGAGATGGAAATACTAATGCAAATGGCATTATTTTCTTACTTTACTGTAATGACTCGGTGACATATGCCCACTTTGGAAATGACTGGTTTTGTTTGGGCTATTTGAGACTATAACAGGTCAGAATTTATGGACTTTGAAATTGCAGCATCCTGTTCATTATTGTGATTTTACATTAAATAAAGATTTCTGCACATGAATCTTGAATGTGTGTTAGTCAGTTGGATGATTCAGAGGGGTGTATTTGTTGGTGCATATCCATCTTGAGGAAAGTATGCGTTTATATGGCTTTGAGAAAGTACATTTTTAATCCCTCGTAGCCATAGATGTAGTAGAAAGGGAATTTGTCATCGTAAAGTAAAATCATCACTTCTCCCACAAAAGTGTTCAGTATTTCTTTATTTTCAGTGTTCATGTGTTTGTAGTCTTTTGGACTCTAATAACTTGTTACTAGATGATGTTTTGCTTGCTTCCTTTTGGAAAGAATCCGGTGAGAAACAAAATGTCTTTAGATGTATTCTGTTGAAGGTGATAACAGCTCTCCACAAAAGTTCTGTGGATTTGTGCAGATCATCTGAGAACCCAGAAATAGTGTAGCAAATTAGGTTACATCTCATTAACAATATATTTATGCCAGATATGAAGCTATTTATTTTATTAATAGTATTTTCTTTTTAATGCGCCCGTACTTCTGAGATGGGTTGACACAGTAACTAGGGTAATGAGGGTACATGTGTCAGAGGCAGTAAGATTGGCTCAGGATAGAGCAAAGTTCAGAGTTAACGTGCACAGGTTCACTATGAGTCAGGGTCGACTGGGTGACACATAACAATAATAATGTTTTCATTTACAGACAATCAGCAGAAATTGCTCCATTGTTTAGAAGTAATTTTTTAAAAACAAATTTCTTATTAAGAATAACCACAGCACAATGTAGTCTCATATAATTTTTGAACTATAGTATACAGTTTTAGTATTTTACATTAAAAATATTATTTATCATATTGATATTGTGTGCTGTTGAGTTTGAGCTAACCCATATTTGACTTTCCAGCAGGTTTTCAGAGGCAGTAAATCAATCGCACAATTAGAAATTGCCCATTCTTCTCCTACAGAGCAGCAGATGGATTCAAACTGCATGCTTCTTAATAGTAGGTCATTAGAGTGACCTATTTATGATATAGTAGAATGAAATAGGCAAATTATATTTACCAAAAAAAACTTTGGTATATAACTTTGTTTGATTCTGATCAAAATGCCTGCTCTAGTTTTGAAACAAATTATCTTTAAAGCTGCTTACTCTCATTACTAAAAACTACTGTATGACTTTTAAGGCATTTTTAAAATGAATTTTAAAAAAATATAATCAGCACAATCTATAATTGTTATAATCAAATCTATAAATAAAGGTAAGGGCTAAATAGGCTAAACCAGTAATTTACCCCAAACCGTCTAGGTGGTAACTGGTAGAATTGAGAAGTAAGAATAATTTTGATGAGTTCACTGGTGTTCAGAAAAGTATTCATAATTTACTTATTGTTAGAAGAGGTTTTGATAAAATAATTTATTGAATAACTAAAATAGTATTACTTTGTACAACTTATAAAAATGTTATTACCCATTAATATAGAATTCTCATGCAGGATCACGCTGACTTTGTTCCCAGTATGGTATGTAGAACAAGACGTTCATATTGTTGAAAATGGTGGACTGGTACCTAGGAGAGATGCTGAAACAAAAGATATAATTGTATAAAAATATAGCTGAATGTGGAATCATGAGGTCTTAGGTAACAACCTCATAGTTCAGTGGGCCAAATTAACCGACATTGATTTATTAGTTGCAGTTCTGCTTTTGTATATTTTTCTTTTTTAATTTAGACTTAGTTTTTAAAAGTGAAGCGTATCTTAAATTTAAACACTAGGTGGATATTTAGTAGCTGATTATTTCATTCTTATTTAATAAGTTACTTATTTTTGTGGAAACCTATTTAGCTATTTGGAAGATTGTTCCATTTTTCTAAATATTTTCTACCTCTTTTGTGTTGACTTTTAGCACGACCACATGATTTCTTCGATGCACAAACACTGGATGCGATAAGACATCGAGCCATATGCTTTAACCTCTCAGCTCATATAGAAAGTTTAGGGAAGGGACACAGTGTTGTTTTTCATAGTACTGTAAGTATTTTTCTGTTTCGTGTTTAAAAATTGTATCAAATGAAAACTCATTTATACGTGTCAAATTAACACTTATTGTGCTTGGAGTCAGAACTGACTCTTCAGCTGATCCACTGTTGGGTTTCAAGGGTCATACTTTCTCAAGGGGAGATGGCCTGTCTTCTGTAATGGAAGTGTGACCTCTGTGTTAATGCAACTCCTACAGACTATGCTCCAAATTACATGTTTGGAAACAAATTAGTATGTTTTACCTTGCACAGTCCTATTTCTGAGTTGCACACCTTAAGGAAATGCATTTTAATAAAAATAAAGTAAAACATTTTACTTTATCAAAACTTAAAGATATCACTTGTATTACTTAAAAAACAATTCTTTCCCACAATTATACACAGTCATGATTAATTTGAATGTATTGCCATTTACTTTGAATGTTTTAGGTGTTTGAGCAGAGTATTATATAGTGGAATTTGTATGGGCCACTGGACCTTTGAAGATGAGGCTCTGACCTTAAATAATCTAGATGTCTTTTCTGACCTCTGATTATCTAATTTATAAGATTAGAACATTCGATTCCTTTTAGTGCTAAAAAGTTTTCATTTAACACCATTGTGTGCATATTGTACATTTGTATTCTCCACTTTGCAGCATACATGTGCAAATTTTGTGTTGCAGTCAGAAAGATAAGTTGCCTGTCACATTTGGACTCTTTGAACAGGGATTTTTAGCTGCTCTGTGATCACGTTTGTAGTCTTAACTAAATACAGTCTACTGGATGACAGTACTGTTAAGTATAAAAGAAGAAAAACACTGAATTTGAAAGAACAATATATGATTTTTTGTATTGATTAACTTGGAATTGTTAACTAAGGGAATTGTTTCTTGTCTTTGTCATTAATTTATCTAGTAAGTTTTCAGTTAATGTAATTTGGCATAAATAAGTTAAAGATAAAATGTGTATCAGACTTGCTTATTCGGGTTTCTGGAAAGAGTTATTTAATTTTGAGTATTAGGATATAAAACACATTAAATTTGGATTAAGTTTATTTTTTTATTTCGTTCGAAATGTATTAGAATTTAAACAGAAAAATCAATACTGATGTCAGTATAATTTTTGGTTTGACATTCTAATTTTCCCTGCCCATCACCTATAAGAAATAGAGGTTTATCACTCTTCTTTGTATATTTCTCTCCCATTTGTTTAGCTTTCCTGGATGTTCTCCCTGTTGCTATTTATTACTTACCTGTCAGTATGTTAAAAATGACTACCCACCTGTTGTGATGATAATCTGATGTGGGTAGGGTTTCATTTTCAAGATAAAACTTTTTTTGTGTGTTTATGTGGTTTTTAAAAAATAACCGTTATAGAATGTGAATAGAAAATATCATACTCCAAAACTCAAACTCCCTGCCTCTAAGTTGATTCTAAGTCATAGTGACCCTTTATCAGGTTTCCAAGGCTCTAAATTTTACTAGGATCGATTGCCCATCTTTTTCCAACAGAACTGCTGGGGGATTTGAACTGCTAGAAATTTGGCTCTTTGGTTATAACACAACTTTGTAAAGACAGTGCCACCAGAACTCCTTGGTGTGAGTCATGACTGTAGTTCCTGGATATTACAACTCTCTGGTACAGACTCATCCAAAATTGTTTGCACTAATTAAATACTGCTTTCTGCATTGAGCATCACTTTAGAAAATAGCATTTATAAGACCCCTTGAATGAGCTAAGAAAAGAATCATTGTTCAATTTTCCTTATAGAATATATGTAAGTGGAGTTAGTCTTGACAGTAATGTTAGTCATTAAATACATCATAAAATTGAATTAGGTGATTAAAAAAAAATTACATTTTAGTCATCACACAGCCATCACTGTATGCATTGAATTTTTGTCACATGAGCAAATGTGAGTCTTGGAGCAAAAATGGAGTCTTTTTCTAGTTTAACTTAATAGACTAGTAGTAATCAGATAATTTTCTCAACTTTATGATCACTAGCCTCAGCCTGTTTATGAATTTCAGGTTAGCACGTTGCTGCAAATGACGGCAAATGTGTTTCTAAGCCTGGTCATCAGTTTTAAAAGTGTGCAGCAACATGTTAAGAACTCTTTTCAGTATCTGATCTGAAAGTATGATAGTAAAAAGAAGTTAGTAGAACAATAGTTAAGTTTCAGTAAAGTCCAGGTTGGTGTCTTTTATCTTTTTTATATATAAGTTAAAATTAAACCAGGCTACTCTTTGGAGGCAAAGATTCTGGGGCTTCGTCTGACATACTTTGGACATGTTGCAAGGAGAGACAGGTCCTTGGAGAAGGGACAGCCCAGGAGGGGAAGACCCTCTATGAGGTGGATTGATTCGGTGACTGGGGTAATCAGGATGGGTGTGTCAAGAGGCAATGAGATTGGCACAGGATAGAGCGGGGTTTAGCCCTGTTGTACATAGGGTTGCTATGAGTCACAAGTGACTCGACGACACATAACAACAACAACAAAAACAACAACAACAACAAAAACAACAACAACAGAGCAGATAAGAGTATGAGGAGAATACGAAGAATGTGAGATGTGTATCATACAAATAGAAGATGGAGCAAAGGTAACTTCTCTCAGGTTAAAGACTTTAAGAGTGATTTTTGGTTCTAGGAAAGATAAGTGCATCTAAAAGAACATAGGAAATGTTATCTAAGGATGAGTAAATTAATAAAGAATTAGAAAAGGATTTAAAAACAAAGAAAGGGTTAAGATGTCTTTAAAAAATTTAATAGGTTTAGGCAATGTTGAATCTGGCTCAGCAATGATGGTAGAAGCTCTGCTTTGAAGTTGTATAAATGTTATAATGTGACAGGTTTGCCTTTTTTTTCTTTTAAATTAAGGTCAGTAGGGTGTGATCACAAGATCCAGAGTATGACAGTAACAATTTATTCATCTGTTTAAATGTTGAGCACCTTTATAACAAATGCTAATAATGCAGCTGTGAGCAAAATAGTTGTTTGAAGTATTTTAAACAAAACAATTTAAAATAAAAGATCATTCCTATAGTTTACTTAGGGTGCTTTTGTGACCTAGTATGTAAGAAATGACTGTGTTGCTAACCCTTAGCAAGGCAATTCAAATCAGCAACCTTGGGGCGTAAAGATGGGCAGTCTCGTCCTGTGTGATTTACAGCTTCTGAAAACCCAGTGGAGAGTCAGCCATGAGTTGGTTCCAGCTCAGCAACACATAACAGTAACAGCAATGTACTTCAATTGAAGAAGCATAACAAATAAGATAAATTAAGATGTGCCATTCATTTCTTAAGGGAATGAGCATCTTAGGCAAAGAAAAGATTAGCTGTTATGTTCTGAGGCAGGAGTAGACATGATGTATTTTTGAAATATGGGAAACAGAATGAATTTTTTTAGGAAATAAGTTATTGGATGAAAACTTTGGTAGATTAACATTTAGTTTTTATTTGGTATGATTGGAAGTCATTTGAAGATCTTTGAGTAGGAATGATCTGATTTAGGTGTTTTTTAAAAGCAATTTTATTGAGATAAATAATTTATAGCTATATATACACACACAATAAATTTTACCCGTTTAAAGTGCGTGGTTTTGAGTTTGCATAGTTCATACTCCTCTTTGAAGTCACTACCACACAGAGAAAACTCAATAATTTGAATTTGGATTCATGAAACCAGAGGCCTGTGGTCTTGAGACGTGTTGAGTTGACCATGACTTATAGTGACTAGGAACAGCATATCTGAACCTTGCACTTTCCTGCATAATCCTCATGATCCCAGAGTTATAGTTACTATGTTGTATGTTAGTCCATCACGTTGAGGGTTTTACTTTCTGTGACCTTCCACTTTTTCTAGCATGTTGTCTTTTTTCAAGTACTGATCCCTTCTGACAATCCTGTCCAGAGTAAGTGAGACAAAGTTTCACTGCCCTTGCTTCTAAGTAGCACAGTGATTGTATTTCCTCCAAGATAGCCTTGTTCATTCTTTTGACAGTTATGGGATATTCAGTACTCTTCACTACAACTGTAGTTCAAATGCATCAATTCTTCTGTCATCTTTTTTCATTGATTTGAATCAAGCACACCTTTGTTGACATTCTTGATTTTTAGCACTTTGGAGAGGTCCACAACAACAGATTTTTCCCAGTGCTATGCGTTTTTCTTGATTTCTTGAGTACTGTTACTATGGATGTTGACTAGATCAAAGAAAATGAGATATAGTTGAACTTTAGTCTTTTTCCCCCATCTCTCATGATGTTTGTCTTTTGGTGGACTTTTGCTTTATTGATGTTGAGATCTAGTCTGTATTGAATATTGTAGTCTCTGATCTAATGCTACAGGTAGTTTAAGTCCTCTTCACTTTCAGCAGGTAAAATTGTGTCACCTGCTTCGTGCAGGTTCTGGATAAGTCTTCAGTGCTCATGCTACATTCTTCTTAATATAGACGTTTCTCCAATGATTTGCTGAACATATGGATAGAATAAGTATAGATTTTAAACCATACCTTGTTCCCTTGTTCTGTTCGGGGAATGACTGCTTCTTGTTGGGTTGGTCGTTGTTATGCACTACCAAATCAGAACCAACTCATGACTGATCCTCAGGGAGGCTTCTTCAGAGGCAATACATTACACAGGAGGAGATTGCTCATCTATCCATCTTGTGGAGCAGCTGGTAGATTCAAACCACCTTTGGGTTGACTTCACAGCTCCCCACCATGTGGCAATTAGAGCTCCAGTCATGCAGGTGTAAGAATTTGGAATTCAAAGAAGAGGTAGGGGGTTTTGAGCATATGGAGAGTATTAAAAGTGTAGGAGTTTTTATCATACTGACAGTATTTTAAAGTGTTAGAGATTATTTTGGAACTGAGAATAGGAAGGAGAAAAGAATTAAAAAATATTGTTTAGGGTCACCAGTAAAATAATTTCAAGAAAAATAGATGTGATCTGAAATAGGGCCCAGTAATGGGCGAGTATCTGCTTATAATAAACAGTCATGATGATAAA